AAAGTTTATCCATTCTATTCCATGCTATTATATTTCAATTCTATTCCTTTCTAATCAATTCTATTCCATTCCATTCCATTCTATTCTTTTCTATTCCACTCTATTCCACTCTATTCCATTTCATTCTATTCTATATATCCTTTTCTATTTTACTCTACTCTATTCCATTCCATTCCATTCCATTCTATTATATTCCATTCTATTCCTCGTTGTTCATTGGTTACCTCAACTGTATGGCGCCGCTGTGCTGTTTGATAACAGGCGTATTTAATATAGACTATCAATATTCTTATTTGATTGTGTTCAACAGTAAATGCACCCAATATCTTGACCACAAATGGAGGGCTAAATTCAGCATCAAGACAATCAGTAGACACAGGCCAACATCAAGCCATTTATCAGCTGAGAAATTCAGGGGAAATGGAAGAACAGCATCGAAGTTCATCTTTATAGCGTCATGCATGATGAATCTAGATACACTTAAAGTATAAATACTATCATACTTCCTCTCAGATCTTTCTAGCTTAGGCATAATGTTTTGTTTCCATTCCAGACCACGCGTCATTCCCTTGAAAATAGGATTCTTTGTTTGATTTATTTCCAATATTTGTGTCTTCTCTGATACACAACCTTTAAGCAAAGAAATGATATTCTTGGGAATGACACGTGATTTCCTCCCTCATTTTAATCTAAGTCGTCAATGGGTTTCCCCGGTGCGTTTAGGAAGGTGCATAAGTGTTACCAAAGCTTTGCCAAACTCAAAATAGGACAACATTCCCTTTTCAATGCAATCGTGAAACATTTGTCATATCGAACGACATTTATCAAATTGAGAGCATTAGCTTTTGGTACGTAAATATTCGACGTCCTGAAAAATCTGATTTAAATACATCAAAATTTTCAAGGCCCCGTCCACACTATGCCGGATAATTTTGAATCTGAATTTTTATTTATTCGGTTAAGTCTACCGTCCACACTAGTCCGGGCGAATCCGGAACAATTCTTCACCGAAAACGAATTTTTTCGAATACAGTCTCCAGAGTGGAACAATTTGAAAACGCCGGCTAGCCGTATTAGTGTGGACGCGGAGAACATTTCGTACCCGAAATCTTTCGAATACGATGACGTCATGATTGTCATGGGAACATGGCGGGAAGGCTAAAAATTCACCGCAGGCTCAATTTCAGCTTCGATGCACATTAGCATGCTCAAATGTGCAATGAAGCGTTTTTGCCGCCTCTGATCGGACTAGTGTTGACGCGAAACATTTTATCCGTTTTCATGTGTGGACGGAAAACTTTTTTATCGGTTTCGGTGTGAGAGTTGCGGATTCAAATTTATCCGGCATAGTGTGGACGGGGCCTAAGACTACAGGATGCAGGGTAGGAGGGGGTGTAGTCCTCCTCAAACATTGTTGTTATTTTTATTTCTATTGATATTCCTCCTTTAATCTAATTTATTTATCTTTTTTTTCAAAGTCACTCAAATTAGAGCTTACCTTCCTTTTCCATTAATTGCAGAAAATGTCTAATTATAAAAGAAAACTTAGAATTATATATTTGAATATTTTTAAAAGAAGAATATTAAGAATGCGCTATTCGCATCTTAGTATTAAAATATAAAGCAAATGAATAAATGGAAAATATATATACAGGGAGTCAATAGGGACTACTGAGAGTAGCTGGACGCAAACCTCTCCCTCTCTCACACCAGCGCCACCACAACCACCATATTTGTATGGTATCTGCAAGCCATACTCTACCCTCCCGGCTCCCACAGTTAAAAACAGGCTTGAAAATCTGAAGTGATTCTTCGTAACAGAGGATGATTTTCACCAGGGGCGGAGAGGGGGGGG